AGGTTAAGTACCAAAGAAACAACTATAAAGTTGAAAATTTGTCTCTGTAGAGTGGAGGTGAAAGGACTGGGGTAGAGGACTCGTTTTCATTATAAGCTCTTAAGCATTATTACATTTAATATTGCTTTGAAAAGGAATTACAAAGATTACTCTTTTTTAAAGATTTATTTATTTTAGAGAGAGAGAAAAAGCGTGTACACATGTCCAGGAAAGAGGCAGAGGGGGAGGGAAAGGGACAAGCGGACTCTGTGCTGAGCACAGAGCCTAATTGGGCGGCTTGATCCCATGAGCCCGAGATCACCACCTGAGCCAAAACCAAGAGTCAGATGCTTAGCCAACTGAGCCACCCAGGTGCCCCAAGAATTACATAGAAAACTTTAAATTTTTTTGATTAGACATGAGGAAGATAACTAAAAGTTTTTAAAAATACAAAAATCATAAAATAAGTTTCCTTTGCAAATGCTTGACTCCACTTTAAACAGACCCAAATGGAAATTATACATGATGCACTATGGGGGCAAATAAGGCCATGGCACTCATCAACAGACACATTTTCAAAGATGTGGAATTGGCACCATATCAAAAAAATTGGGTGAATCTACAGTTACATGCATTAAGTGAAACTAAAATGTATAAGGTATGTTATCTTTTCTTGATTTCCCAATTTACAATGTAATCTTTGACCAGTTATTTGTCTAAGAGTCTACAGTCCAACTGACTCTTGAACAACATAGTTTTGAACTGCACGGGACACAGAAAATTTGAAGATACAGTTGGGCAATCTCCCAAAGAATGCCTTTTTGTTTTTAAGATAAAAACAAAATTTTAAAATAAAACTTTTTTTTTTTTTTTTTTTGTCAGAGAGAGAGAGAGAGAGAGAGGGAGAAGCAGGCTCCCCACTGAGCAAGGAGTCCGATGTGGGACTCGATCCCATGACCCTGGGATCCTGACCTGAGCAAAGGCAGACACTTAACTGACAGAGCCACTGAGGTGTCCCCACATGGATGTTTTTAATACACTACAACAAAAGGAAATTAAATATTATAAATGTAATTCTCTTAGGATTTTCAAATTTTTTTTTTTTAAGATTTTATTCAGAGAGGGGCGCCTGGGTGGCTCAGTGGGTTAAAGCCTCTGCCTTCGGCTCAGGTCATGATCCCAGGGTTCTGGGATCGAGCCCCACATCGGGCTCTCTGCTCAGCGGGGAGCCTGCTTCCTCCTCTCTCTCTCTCTGCCTGCCTCTCTGCCTACTTGTGATCTCTGTCTGTCAAATAAATAACTAAATAAAATCTTTAAAAAAAAAAGATTTTATTCAGAGAGGGAGGGAGAGAGAGCACAAATGTGGGGGAGAAGCAGAGAAAGAGGGAGAAGCAGAATTGCTGCTGAGTGGGGAGCCTGACACAGGGCTCAATCCCAGGATTTCCTGACTGAGCCACCTAGGTGCCTGCTCTAAAGATTTCCTTAATAACATTCTTTTCTCTACCTTTACTGTAAGAACACAATATATAATAAATATACAAAATAGGTATTAATTGGACAACCTATGCTCTTGGTAAAACTTTTGGTCAACAGATTATTAGTAGTTAAGTTTTGGGAAGTCAAAAGTTATATGCAGATTTTTGACTTTGTTGGGGGGTGTTAGCGCCCCTAACCCCTATATTGTTCAAGGGTCAACTGTAATTATATTCAACTTACATTATATAGCACTTATTAATTGATCTGAACTTGCTAGCTTGTTATCTATTAGCAGGTTTATACCAGGGATCTGTAATTGGTAGTCTCAAGTTCATGGGTGTTGATTAGGTTATCCACACTCCAGGGTCAGATGGACCATATTTAGTTCAAGACGCCTCCTGGAAAGATGGAATCAGTGTACTAGTTGCCTTGTCAAACGGTGGTTTCACTAAATTCTTGTCCCAGAAGTGAAACTTCCTAGTTTTCTATGGAGCAATAAGATGTGGATAAACTTCTACCCCTGGTTTCACCAACAACTCCAGCAAAGTTTGAGTTTTAAGCACAGAAAACACCAAGCTATTGTTTTGATATCCGCATGCAATAGACCATGTAATAATGACTCTGTGATGTGTGTGCATATGTGTGTATGAGAGAGACTAAAAGAGAGGAGGAGGAATCCACCCAGTTCTTTCCCCCATGCTTGCAGAATACCACTCTAAGGCTAGAGAATTTTAACTTTCTAGGGAAGCTGTCCAGGGGTATGAGAGAAGGTTACAAAGCACTGACTCCATGGAAGAGTTCCCAAGTCAACAACTCTGCTCATTAGCTGAGCAAAAAGTTACCACTCATTCAGCTCCAGTGAATGGTGGGCTCCTGGGAATCTTGAGACCACCTAATTAGGGAATAGTGAACAACTTTACATAAAGCCCACCTGACATTCAAATTCAGGGTTTAGGAGTTAACAGATTTTCTGAGAAAGGCTGATCATCAATCACTTCTATAGTGGCCCACTCACAGCAAAAGATCTGTGTCATTTGTTCCCAATACTGTTTAAAAATGAGTGCAAGCAATATGTGTTTGAAAATTTAGAGTCAAATTCTGGCTCTATCACTGACGTTGTGTAAATAAGTTAACCTGTTTGAGCCTCAGTTTCCTTACTGGTAAAAAGGGACTAGTAATACCTACCTGACAGACATGCTGAGAGAATTAAATGGAATCATGCATGTGGAATGTTCAGCACAATGCCTGGCATGCAGTACATACTAAATAGATAGCTTCAGTGCTCGTTTCGGCAGCACATATACTAAATAGATAGCTTCATATTATTAAGTTTTTTGAACCAACAAAATTTTGGATTTTTAAATAGAAGTTAGCAAGTGGACCTCCTCTGTCTAAATCTTGAGGTAAGCAGAGAGTATAAAATTGGCAGGGGAGGGGGAACAATATAGGGGTGACAAATTTGATGTCTAGTCTTCCTTCTAACCTTACATCTTAGGCCAACTGTTTGGCCAAACCTCCAGTCTCTGATAGTCTGCCAGTGGCATGAAAAAAATTGGGCAAGCAGATGATAACAGGATACCTTCCTATTACCCCCATAGTTTTATTTTTAAAAAATATGCGCATCCAAGTGAGTATAAGGGGGGAGGGGCAGAGAATCTCAAGCAGACTCTTTGCTGAGCACAGAGCCCAATATAGGGCTTGATCTCAAGACCCTGAGATCATGACCTGAGCTGAAATCAGGAGTTGGGTGCTCAACCTACTAAGACACCCAGGTGTCCCTATTACCCCATAGTTTTGTAAAGCAAAGTCTTTCTCTCTGCCTAGCCTACGGCAAAATTAATTAGAAATGAAACTCAGACCTCTTTGGATTGGTATACAGTTTTGTTTACTAGTTTAGGTAGCAAACTGGGTAGGAAAAACCCATGCTTGGTGCTTAGTTCTCTCATAGTGAGAAGTCCGATCTAGTAGGGGCAGGCAGGGTTGGAGCAGCCAGGAGAGGCCTAGTCTTGGAATAAGGAAGATTTATGGAATAGGCCAGGTTTGTTTCTCTGAGAGAAGGTGAAGAGCTCCTTATTTGGAGACAATAGCAGCCCATGGCATAATGCTGGGATGGGTGGCGGCCAGCGGGGGAGGGCAGGTGTAGGGCTATTAAGGAATTTCTAGGGTCCACCAGTGGGACCCTTTGTACAAACCTTACCTGAAAGCTGCATATGTAAAACAGCTGCTTTGTTGTCATTAGAAAAAGGATATATTGCACCTAATAGAGTTCTATACTAGTCTCTCTCAATCTTTGTGTTTTATACTTACCAGTCACCCCCTACCTTCACCCCAATAAAACTTTGCTTTAGTACCTGCCAACACTTAATTTCCTTCACTTATGTTCTCCATTCTGTCCGAAATACCCTTTCTCCTCCATTTCTGTGCTTTCAAACAATTTATCTTTTGTTTTACTTTATTTATTTGTCAGAGAGAGAGCACAAGCAGGGGGAGCAGCAGGCAGAGCAGGCAGAGGGAGAAGCAGGCTCCCTGCTGAGCAGGGAGCCTGATGTGGGACTCCATCCCAGGACCCCAGGATCATGACCTGAGCTGAAGGCAGACGCTTAACCGACTGAGCCACCCAGGCGTCCCTCAGACAATTTATCTTTTAAGACCTTAACCAATCGTCACATCTCCTCCAAAGCCTCCTCTAACTTCCTGTTTTAGTCATTCAAATATCATTTATTAATTTACTTACCTACAAGTACTTATTAAATCTCTATGTATTGGAACATTAGAGCATTATGTACTAGGTATTGCTAGGCATTGTGGGATAATATAATCAGTTATTTACCATTGCCCATTAAAAATCCTTTAGTGGTTCCCTATAAAATTAAAATGCTTAGCATGGATAACAGCATCCTCAATTTCCTGGCCCCTGCCAAGTTTATAAGGCTTACTTCCCAGCACCTGTCTTTACACTTTATCTGTACCCAAGGACTTAAGAGTTCAGTGAATACGGCTCTCCCAACTCTCTGTTCCTTTGTCTGTGCAATATTCTCTTTTGGTCTACTTGGCGAATTCCCATCATCCTGGCAGCATTCTGTGTGAAGTCTTTCCTAAAGGATTCTCCTGTGCTCATTCAAATCCAATAGCATCAGGTACTTCCTCTTTTGTGGTCCCACAGTATTCCATATTTAATTTATTCATACATTATACTGCAAATTTTTTGTTTGCATATTTATCTTTAGGGCCACTTTATGGCAGAGACCTTATCCTATCTGTCCCCAATCACCAACAGAAATCCTGGCACAAAACTCTTTTTAGTAAATGTTAACTAAATGTGCAAATGGATAATAATGAACATTTATTCAGTTGAACAGGTTGAATGTCTTAATAAGGATATTAAATGACAGAAGAGGGAAAATCAATGGATAATCTCTGTATTCCGTAATTTTAGCTGGTGACTGGTGTAATTGTTAATTATGGGTGATAAAGCTCTAACTCAAGATAGAAAAAGAAATGGCCAAGAAGCAGCTCTTCTAAGCCTCTACCCAACTTCCCCTTACTTGTTTCTTCAGTTGTGTCCCTTTTCTTGTCCCGAAAGGAATTTTGATATCCCAAAAGATATAAGTTGAAGAAGGCCATCTCAGCTCCTCCCTGTCGTCTTCTGGAATGTTTAGGCTGGAGCACTGGAGTCTGTTTGGTAACTATGGTAATGCCCTATGAATTACTATGACTAACACTCCCTTTACCTAAGGAGACACAGGATTTATGGGTTCACAGTAGGGCTGGAGTGGGACTGGGCTAAATAACTTCAGAAAAATGGAGGAATCAAGAGCCAGTTACCCTTTTTTTCTTGCACCAGTCTTTTTTATACTGTAAGTTTCAGAAGGCAGTGAACAGAAAGAGCACTGACTTGGGCTCATATATTATTTTCGCCATACACTCAGTATCTGAGTTTGAATAGGTTAAGCCTCTGTTTATTTTTAAAAATGGCAATGGTATCTATCTCAGAGTTATGAGAATTAAATGATAATGTACGCAAATTTCCTTTGCATAGTGTTCAGCATATAATGGAAACAAACAGTATTTAAATGTGAATATGGTACTTCCGATGAGTCTTTAAGTTATTTCAAGCAGTGGTGTGCTGAACCAGTTCATACTGATTTTTGAGCTGCCTCTTAAATTTTCGGGAGTTTTACAAGATGGTTGTTTAAAATTATCACAACTTACAATTAAATAAATCATATGAAAAGTAAAGGTAGTAAATACTAAAAACTCATCTCTTCCTAATTATTTTACTATTATTTATACTCATGAAGTTTTATCTATTGTATGTGTATATTCTGTTATTTTTATTCTTTTTTCTGTTTGCTTTTCAGTTTGGGAAGTTTCTGCTGACAAATCTTCAAACTCACTGTTTCTTTCCTTGGTTGTGTCCAGTGTATTGATAAGCCCATCAAAGGCATTCATTTCCTTTACAGTTTTTGTTTTTTTTTTTTAAGTAAGCTCTAGGCCCAACATGGGGCTTGAACTCACGAGATCAAGATCAAGAGTCACACATTCTACTGACTGAGCCAGCCAGGCACCCCTGTTATAGGTTTTTTTTAATTCCCAACATTTCCTTTTGACTCTTAGTTTTCATTTCCATGCTTCATTACTCACATATTCGTGCATGTTGTCCACTTTTTCCATTAGAGTCCTTAGCATATTAATCAGTTAAATTCCCATTTTGACAATTCAAAACTTTCCTCCATATATGATTCTGGTTCTGATACTTGCTTTGTCTCGAGACTGCATTTTTTGGCTTTTAGCATTCCATATATATATATATATTTTTTTTAATTTTTAATTTTTAATTTTTTTTTTGTAGAAAGTTACACATGATACACTAAGTAAAAGGAATGGATGTTTTACATTTATCTGTTTGGGAGTTCAGGTGCTATTTCCTGTTTGTTATGGCTGTAGGTATCACAGGCTAAAATTTCCTCTGATGTCTTTGTCTCCCCTGTTGTCTTTGGGTTTCCTTTCAGACTCCTATTTAAATAGGGTCTGAGTCTGTAGTTCTTTTGTTATAATCACCTGTTATATAGGAGACCTACTGATGTGTTGGTAAGGGCGGGCGGGTGAAGAAAGTGCTTTATAATCCTATCAGGTCTCAGTTTTTTAGTAAGCTTGTGTCCCCTCTGGACTGCGACCTTCACAAATGCTAGAGTTGGTTATTTTGCTTTTCCTATATTGGCTAGGCTCTGTTAAATAGCTTCCATTGAGGACAGGCCTTTGTTAAGGACAACTGAATGCTCTGGGTCTATTCCCAAGTAGCTCTTTTTTCCCTTTCCCTTCCAGGAGGACAGGGGATTTTTCTCCAATCTTCACAGTAAGAACTATGGGGCTCCTGGAAGTAAAACTCCTGAAAGTGCAGGGGCCCTCAAGAGGTTTTGTTTTGTTTTTAAAGATTTTATTTATTTATTTGACAGAGAGACAGAGTACAAGCAGGGGAAGCAGCAGGGAGAGGGAGAAGCAGGCTCCCCACAGAGCCCAATGTGCGTCTTAATCCCAGGACCCTGGGATCATGACCTGAGCCAAAGGCAGATGCTTAACTGACTGAGCCCCCCAGGTGCACCTCTGCTGGTTGTTGTTTTTGTTGTTGTTGTTTTTTCCAAGTCTCTCAACCTAGGCCAAGTTCAGTCTCCACCAATTAGTCAACTGCCTTTCATGTATTCCTACCAGTTGCTGGTTTCAATAGTAGTTTTTGGTCTCAATAAGTCATGGGTCTCTGTTCTGCCTTTTCTGATTCTGCCTGTTTCTCCAGTTTTTGTGGTGGAGGTCTACCCTGTCCCCTTAATGCTCTGCTTAATCTAACAAGGGTTGTTGATTTTCAGTTTATGCAGGTTTTGTTGTTGTTGTTGCTATTATAAAAATAGGAGTAATGACTTCTAAGCTCTTTACATATTGGACTGGAAACCAGAAGTCCCTGTCTATTGTATCTATATGGTGGAAATACTATGTGATGGTACGTTCATCTCATCCTAAGTCCATGCTCTGTGATGTCATGTTGGTAGCTTGAAATTGGCCATAATGGGAGAATTTAGACTACAGAAATGGTAAATGCTGCAAACAAAAGCTTGATTTATTTTGACTAGACTAAAGTGATAGTATGTAAATAATGTAGATTAAGTTTAAAAATATATCATGTAGGGGCGCCTGGGTGGCTCAGTGGTTAAAGCCTCTGCCTTCAGCTCAGGTCATGATCCCAGGGTCCTGGGATCGAGCCCCGCGTTGGGCTCTCTGCTCAGTGCAGAGCCTGCTTCTCTCTCTCTCTCTCTGTCTGCTTCTCTGCCTACTTGTGTTCTCTGTGAAATAAATAAATAAAATCTTTTAAAAAAAATATATCATGTCTATGCCCATTACATCGTCAAGAGCACAAAGAATTGAAAGGTTCTTCCAGTTTCAAAAACGATTATCCAATTCAGCAAAGATGTTGCTCAAGTCACTGACAAATAAGTGTAGTTCCAACATAAGTCTCACTGTCTCATTTTTTGGGGGGGAGCAGAGGGAGAGGGAGAGAGAATCTTGAGCAGGTTCCACGCTTGGCCCCTTATTTCACTTTTATCTTACTGATTAATGCAAATTAAAATGTCAAAAAAGAGTCAAAACTATGCTCATCTGCTGGGGTGCCTGGTCGCTCAGTCAGTTAGGCTTCTGACTCTTAATTTTGGCCCAGGTCATGGCATCATCTCAAGGTCTTGAGATTGAGCTCTGCATGGGGCTCTATGCTCAGTAGGGAATCTGCTTGGGATTCTCTTCCTCTCTCTCTCTCCCCCTTCTCCTCCCTCATTTGTATGTGTGCTTGCTCTCCCTCTCTCAAATAAATAAATCTTTGGAAAAAAACCCTATTCTCATTTGTCAAATGTAATCACAGGTTGGTTCTTGAATCAAGAAGTTGGCAAAACTGAGTGAAAGCATTCTGTGAGAATCAACTGGCTATAGGAAATTTATAATAAAGATCATATATTGTATTTTTTATAAATGTGTGCTACACATTCATGTTCATGTTTGAACTTATATATGTATACACACACATACAATTATTTTCTGGATAGCTGGTTATTCATAATTTACCTGTATACCCATACCATGGTCGATTTCAAGCTATCATAGGACACCAACTGAATGTGGATTTGGGAATCGTTACAAATGGCAAACCATCTTCTCGTGTTTTAATCTGGAGACTATATAAATGTTGGAAAGAAATTATTTTGACAATAAACATGTACTGAACACCTATTGTGCCTGATGGTGTCCTGTCAAGATCCAGAGATGACATTTAAGATCACACAGCTACGGGACCCTGGGTGGCTCAGTCAGTTAAGTGTCTGCCTTCAGCTCGGGCTGTGACCTTGGGGTCCTAAAATCAAGACCCATGTCTGGCTTCCTGCTCAGTAGAGAAAGTGTCTCTGCCATGCCACTCCCCCCTCCCTCTCTAATGATTAAATGAAATCTATTAAAAAAATCACAAGGTAGTTAAAAGAATACCTGGGAATTTTAAGGATATTATATTAAGTGAAATAAGCCAGTCACAGAGACAAACACTGTATGATTCTACTTATGTAAGAGATCTAAAGCAGTCAAACTCACAGAAACACAAAGGTTGTCAGGGCTGGGACCAGGGGGAAATAAAGCATATAGAAATAAAGTTTCAGGTTTGCAAAATGAAAAAGTTGTGGAGATCTGTTACATAACAATTTGAATATAGCTGATACTATGAAACTGTACACATAGAAATAGTCAAGGGTTTAAAAAAAAAAAAAAAGAATAGCTGGGATTTGAATCCAGGCCTGATTCAAAACTCTTGTTTAGCAATTGTTATACTGCCTCCTACTTTCAAATATTTATCCTCTCAAACAATATTTCCTTTCTCTGAGTTACACAGGTCCTGTTCTTCTGTATGGCAGGATAGCCACTGATTACCACCCGCATTGCCTAGAGCTTAAGAGATACCAGAACTTGTTCTTGGAAAATTGGTATACTCATCCAGGACAGCAAATTCAAAATGGAGCTGTCAATCCAAGAGTTTAAATGAAGGACCAGGGGCACCTGGGTGGCTCAGATGGTTAGGCGTCTGTCTTTGGCTCAGGTCATGATGCCAGGTTCCTAGGACTGAGCCCCTGGGTCAGGCTCTCCGCTCAGCAGGGAGTCTGCTTCTCCCTCTCCCTGTCCCCCTGCTCACATGCTCTCTCCCAGAAAAATAAAATGTTTAAAATAAAAATGGAGAACCAAACAAAGGTCAGAGAAATAGGCAAGAGGGTTCTGGGAGAAATAATTTTGGTTGTTTAAAAGACAATATAATTGGGACTTGGGTAGCTCAGTTAGATGTCTGCCTTTGGCACAGGTCATCATCCCAGAGTCCCTGGTTTGAGCCTGCATCTGGCTCCCTGCTCAGCAGGAAGTCTGCTTCTCCATCTCCCTCTGCCCCTCCCCCCAGCTCATTTTTTCTCTCAAATAAGTAAATCAATCTTTTTTTTTTTAAAGATTTTATTTATTTATTTGACAGAGATCACAAGTAGGCAGAGAGGCAGGCAGAGAGAGGAAGGGAAGCAGGCTCCCTGCTGAGCAGAGAGCCTGATGTGGGGCTCGATCCCAGGACCCTGGGATCATGACCTGAGCCGAAGGCAGAGGCTTTAACCCACTAAGCCACCCAGGCACCCCAAGTAAATCAATCTTTAAGAGACTATAATGACTACATATTTAAAAAAAATGCTTATTCTATTAAAAGGAACACACCTGTGACATTAGTTAGATGTTTGAAATCATTATTTTTTAACGTTATAACTTGAAATAAGTCATTTAAATCTTCCTGAACCTCAATTTTTCTGGAGTAAAATTTAGCTAATGCTAATTATAGGTAGTATAGGGCAAAGGAGGGCCTGAAATGGAAGGAAATATGTCTGAGAATGAATCAGAATCAAACTGAGTGGGAGCAGCCATGTCTAAAATGGAAAAAAACTCAAAATATTATGAAAGACAAAGGATTCTAATACTATCCCAATTTAATCAAGGTAAATTGTTTCAGAAAAGCAAGAATACAGTTTGCTAGAATGGAAAGAACAACGGAATTAGACCTGATTTAAAAATCAAGACTTACAAGCAGCGCAGCATAGGGCAAACTACTTAATTTCCCCAAGCCCTGGTTTCTTCCTTGCATGGTGCTGTAACCATTTATTTGACAAATATTTATTGACTACTAGGGCCAGGACTGTATTAGGTAGGTGCCATTGATACATCTCAATTTTAATATAATAGAATAAAGACTCATAATATTTACTGAATGTTTTCGATGTTCCTAGGTGCCAGGCACTATTACAAAGGATTTTAATTAATTATAGCTTCATTTAGTCCTTCCCACAACTTAAAATGTAGGTACTATTGTTATTATTTACATTTATATGTAAGAGGCACAAAGAGATTAGGTATCTTGCCCAGGATCAAACAGGCATCAGGCGTTCCGCTGGGAAATTTCTTGATGGAGGACAGGAACTTTCAAGTTCTTAGGTGTGCAAGGTGGAGGTAGAAGCTTTCCACAAAGGAGCAGCTTTAGTTCGCTCTCTACAGAACGGGGGTTGAAACGTTACTACCTCTTGGGGTTGCGTCTTTTAAATGAAATAGTGTATCAATAATGTGCCTGGAACATGGTAATCACTAAACATTGTGAATTAAATTTCATTTCCTCCCGTTGAATCACTGTGGCGAAGCACAGGACTTTTTTCAAGGCTTTAGGTAAACGTTGTAAAAAGCTTTGCAAATGGGCAGTTTACACTGCTACCAACAACGTTAAGAGCTTTCTACTTGCTTTATATTGTGATATACGTTAGGGCCACTCTCTGATCACTTTTTTCTGTTTTTGACAGTCTCACCTGTTCTCTGTCAAGCTCGCGATCTCCCCCATTTTCTACCGTCACCTCCGCTACAAACGAAGTTCTCCGAGAAACCGCCGAGGGGCGCGTGGGCGGGCGCTTTATCCCGCCACTACAGTCGACTCCCCACCTCGTCCACCACGCGAAAGCTAAACCCCGCTCTCGCGGGAGGAAACGTGGTTTCGAGCGAGAACTTCTACCCCACCCTGCCTCCCAAGGGTCACATGACTGGCGCCTGCGTCCTAGACTCAAGGTTTTTCCCGGTCGCCTACTGGCTGTTAACTTGGCTACAGGTTGTCGCGAGGTCCATTCCGGATATAGACTCTTCAACTACCCCTCCTTTGCGGAAGCCTGTCACAACCTAGCCGTCCACATTTTAGCGGAAGTTCGTCACGTCGCTGTTGCCCCCGCACAGCGGATGTGTGTCGCCGCTTAGGTGACGCTGGGAAGTGCTTGCAGCCTCCGCCGCTGCCTTCTGGTTGAAGCACTATGGAGGGAGAGAGGAAGAACAACAACAAACGGTGGTATTTTACTCGAGAACAACTGGAAAATAGCCCATCCCGTCGTTTTGGCCTGGACCCAGATAAAGAACTTTCTAATCGCCAGCAGGCGGCCAATCTGCTCCAGGACATGGGACAACGTCTTAACGTGTATCCTTGCGGCCTAGGCCTCTGGCCTTGGAGTCAGACCCGCCTTGCTAGGGCTTCAAGGCCTCAGGCTCTGTCAGGGACGGAGGAGAGAGGAGGTGGGCAGGGGCTGAATGTCTAGGTGAGAGAGCCTCCGATGGGGCGGGCTGAAGTTCAGTGTTGCGCCAGGGAAGCGAGGCGGAGTTAATTTCCCGCTCGCTCACCAGTGCCACCAGCGTTGCTGGGAATTCGTATCCTTCGCAGCTTTGTGTTTTAACCAGCAGTTCTGGTCCTCTTTTGTTGTGTTCTGGTCTCCTGGTTTGGTGACTTAGAGATAGTACTTTTCTGCTATTCCCCAGGGGTTTGGTGGAGGTTTCACTGTTGATGGCTGCTTTTTGAACTTAGTGTGTAAAGACAGTTTTGAGAAATTCAGGAGCTGTAGGTCTTAAGAAGAGAGGGTGGCCTAGAATTAATGCTCCAGCTATGGTTCAAAATCGTTCCTTCCACTTACTAGCTGTTTAAGAAACCTGTCAAATTCTTGGTTTTCTTGTCTGTAAAATGGAGTGATAACTCTTGCATGTAATTCTGTACCTAAGAAAATGCCTGGCACTCATGTTCAGATGGTAGCTACTGTAAAACTTACAGAATTTCAGAGGAGGGAAGGATGTCCATTTCTGTTTGTAAGGATATAGACCCAGGGATCTAATGTTTTAAAAAACAGTTTACAGAATGTTGAGTTTTTAACTTACTCAGAGTTCTGATGTGTACTTGTTTTCTTTATATTTCAAAGATCAGATAATTTAGTGATCCCCCCCTCAAGTATTTTTGTCAGAAAATATGCTCACTTTGTAGCAGAGAAAGCTTATATAGTTATAAAGTTCTTTCCACTCTGGAAATGAAAAATTATTTTTGGGTGAAGCTCCTATTATAGTGTGTGGCTGGCTGTAATGTTGTACCTTAAAGTTGTGCTCACCTCAAAAGAGGTGTCCTGTTTATTGAGGATATTTGATTTGTTTCCCAAGCATTAGGTCAGTACTAAGTTAAATTTCCTGTTTGAAATTCTGTTTTAGTACATCTAGCCCTTTTTTATGTGTGTGTTGTTATTAAGGTTGTTGACATCTTGGGACCACAACCTCTTCCCTGAATAACCCACATTGTCTCTGAGGGCTTTAGAAGTAAGGCATTTAAAATTTTGTCAGTGAATGAGTATCAAATTATTCCACAGTGTTTCTTCTCCCAGGGATCACCATATGAGAAGGCTTAGTTGCCACACACAAGGGAGACTGAAAAGTTAATTTTTGGAGCTTAGAAAGTGAGTAGATAGTAGAGACATACCTAGGGGCCAGATCAGGGAGGGTGTTAAAAGTCACGCGAAGAGATATCCTGAGCTAATGGATCATCACAGCAGGATTTTCAGGAGGCAAGTGACAGGTTTAGGTCTACATAAATTTTTTATATTCCTTGATCCACACATGCTAAGAAGCTTGGTTGTTATCAGTTCAGCAGATTTACATACTGAATACTGGTTGTGGGTAAGGCGTTATGTTAAGCGTCAGTTGGTGGTTAATAATTTGGTGAAAGGAAACAGATTGGCTCTTTAATTTGGAAAATTAAGTGTGATTTTCATTTAGAACAGTGTACTGTGCTTAACTGCATGGTCCTTTTGGGAGGATATATAGGTTGTATTTTTGGGAGTTGTTCTGCCTGCCTGTTTTGGGGCCTTAACTTTAACATTATAGCTCACAATTGACTATCAACACTGCTATAGTATACATGCATCGATTCTACATGATTCAGTCCTTTACACAGTTCCATCGAAATGTAAGTATTATTACTATTTTGTATAGCGTAATCATTTTGTGATTGATTGCAGCAGCTTCCTGTGTGTGGGGGGTGAGGAGGTTGATCTATGTTGCTGAACTGGGATTTGAAATTTAGAAAATAGGACTGATCACTTTCATTGTGTGTCACACTGAATCCAGTCTTCCAGTTTTTCATTAAACTGTCTGGTTAGTTATTTGGTAGGTTTAGTGCATCTTTAGGATAGATGGATTCTCTAATAAAGAAATAGATAATTGAACACCACCATTTTTGGGTTGGGAGAGGAGCATTAAAAGGGAGATGATGCTTAATTTAAGTGTAACTTTTGAAGTGGTAAATAGTAATGTAGCCACAGGAAAACAAGTGAATGTAAGTGATTTCGATTTTCCAAAAATCTTTGATAGAATTGCAATCAGTGACTGGTTAGAGAGGGAAAACACATTATGTGATGATGGGGGGCGACTTTTAAGACAGGAAGAAGAAAATAATAGTAATAAAGGGATTTTTTTTTTCCTGGACAGAATTGTAAATAGTGCTATTTTCAGTTTTGATACCTGAAATGGTCCTATTTAACATTATTATAAATGACTTTGAAGTGAGTACATAGTGATATCCCGGTTGCAGGTAAGACTATATTTGTTTAATTAAATCACAAGGTAATAGGGCTAAACTTGGTGAAAACTTAAGATGGGTTTGTGAGTCAAATATTTCTTCCCCCCCTTTTTTTAAAGAAAGGTTGTGTTTTGAAGAAGTGTTTAAGACTTACCCTTAGGATGATAGGCTTTGAGCTCTTTAAAAAAAAAAAAATTATTTATTTATTTGACAGAGAAAGATCACAAGTAGGCAGAGAGGCAGGCAGTGAGAGGGGGGAAGCAGGCTCCCTGCTGAGCAAAGAGTCCGATGTGGGGCTCGATTCCAGGACCCTGAGATCATGACCTGAGCTGAAGGCAGCGGCTTAACCCACTGAGCCACCCAGGTGCCCCTGAGCTCTTTTTTTTTTAATGCCATGGAAAGAGAATCTGTGAAGCTAGATAGTGCTCTTGTAATATAAGTTGGCATACTCAGTATTGGGAGTAACTGTACTGGAAACCCTTTGGATCTGTGGATTAAGTATTCCCAATTTTTATCCAGTCAGCTTGGCTTTCTCCTACCAGTAGACCTCTTACCTCCAGCCATGCCCTACCACTGATTGCAAGAAGCAAGTTTATTAAGACAGAGAAAAGCATTTAATGAGGATATCTGTCTGATAGCTCTATAATAGAAGGTGGTGGATAAATAATGACATTTGAGGAGGAAGTCCATAGCTGTCTTGCCAATTCTTTTTTTTTTTTTTTTTTTAATTTATTTATTTGACAGATAGAGATCACAGGTAGGCAGAGAGGCAGGCAGAGAGAGAGAGAGGAAGCAGGCTCCCCGCCGAACAGAGAGCCTGATACGGGGCTCGATCCCAGGACCCCGAGATCATGACCCGAGCTGAAGGCAGAGGCTTTAACCCACTGAGCCACCCAGGTGCCCCATGTCTTGCCAATTCTGAATGTTATTTGTGTCTTCCCTTTTATAATGGTAAAGATTTGAAATCTAGGATGAAATACATCTCAAATCTGTTTGTCCACTTTGTGCACATGTATATTATATACTTCTGCTTATATCTTTTAAGTTATATTTTTCCTTGTTTCCTGTGTATTAAGCTTAGCAAGGACAGAGACTCACTTTTCTGTGTATCCTCCGAAGCACCTTCAGTAAACTTGAATGAATGAATGAATGAACTGGTAATTATCCAATAAATATAGAGAGATTCCAGTGGATGACATGAGCTTTTCCAAAATACAGTGACTTTTAAAATTGGGGATTGTCGATCCTCTCTAGAGAATTGATTTTAGGCACATTCTGGAACAGATCAAAAATACCACCCTTTAATATCTTAGTTTTAAGACGTGATAAATCCAAGTTAAATTTGAGAGGACTTAATACATTGTTGTAGCATTGATATTTGTCCTATCAAGCTCCTGTGCATTTTTCATGTTATTTTTTTCTCATTATAAAGGTAATAAATACTTACCGTAAAAATTAATATGGAAATGTATAATGTAGAAAGTGAAAGATCCTCTGTAATCCCACCCTCCAGGGTTAACCATTGATAAATGTTTTGTCATATAGTGTCTTGGGCATTTTTGTGTGTAAATACCTAGTATTTATGTATTTCTATTAAAAAATAATTTGATTATACTACTATTATGTGAATTGCCTTTATTAGTTAACAGTATATATTGGATATCTTTTCATAGTGGTTTTTCATTACAGTTGACCTTTGAACGAGGTAGGGGTTGGGGTACCTACCTCTACACAGTTGAAAATCCACATGTAATTCTTGACTCCCCAGAAAGTTAACTAGCAGAAGCCTTACCAATAACACAGTTAACACGTATTTGTATGTTATGTGTATCATATACTGTATCCTTACCAAAAAATAGGCTGGAGAAAAGAAAATATTAAGAAAATCATGAGGAAGACAAAATACAGTTATAGTGTATTGTATTTATAGAGAAAAAATCTGCATATAAGTAGACTGACACAGTTCAAACCAGTGTTGTTCAAGTGTTAGCTATTTTATTTTTTTTATGTGTGTTAGCTGTATTTTAAATGGCCACATAGTATTTCTTTGTATTGTTACCATTTATTTCACCTCCATACTGGCGGATATTTAGGTTGTTTGTAGTTTAGTAATTATAGATAATGTTATATAATATTGGTATATATATTATGTGACTTACATGATTGTTTTAATATAAATTCCTATAGGTAAAATTACTGTGTCCACAGGGCTGCATTTAAAAAATTTTTGTCCTGTCAGTTTGCCTTACTGAAAGATTGTATCCGTATACATTGTTTTGTTGTGTGATTTTGCCCTACTGAAAGATTTTATCGGTATACATTGTTTTGTTCTGTCAGTTTGCTTTATTGAAAGATTATATCAGTATACATTGTTTCCAGCAGTGTGAGAGAGGGTCCTTGTCTCTGCATCCTCACAAATAACGTATTTATTACATCAGGAAATAGTAAGTTTTAACTACTTGTTGTGCACTTGGGATACAGCGGTGAACAAGATAGAGGGCATCCTAAATTATTTTCTTAATTTACCTTTTTTTTTTCAATTAGTGAAGTCAAGCTTCTTAAACCTATTTAGGTCATTGTTCTTATGAAATTGAAAAATCAACTTAAAAATTGACTTGATTCTCTTTGCTCCTCTTTTATTCTGATTTTCTTATTTATACGAGCTCCTGTATGTTAGGGCTGTATGTCATGTGTTGGGAGTACTTTCCTCATTTTGTTCTATTACTTTGTTCATAGAGTTTTGAAGCCTAGAACTCTTGCCTTTAAAAACTTTTTAAAAAATTTTTGTTGAGGTATAACGGTAAAGCACAAAAATCTGAAATGTGCAACTTGATTACTTTTTGCATTATTATTATTATTGTATGTATATGTAGCCATCACTGGATGAAGATAAAGTATATTTCCAGCACCCTGGAGGATAGAGAACTTGTCTTTCAGTGGAAATAAATTTTATTTCTTTAGTGGACATGATTAAATGACTAATTTTCATTTAATTTTTGGCATTGTATTTTTTTTTTTGAGAAGAAATTTAACCTCATGAATTGAATTTCTAAATGTACTGTCTTAAATGTTTTCAGAAGAGGGAGTGTAAAATTAATGGTGAGCAACTTGGTGTGTTTATGTAATATTTCATATATTATGAAATTGGGTGCTGTATTTTAATACCTAACAGATTTAATTGGGTGTATTTTATTCTGGTTAGCTTATCCTTAAGGGGTCAAGCTTAGTGGTTAAGAGAATGGGCTCTGAAGTCAGACCTGTCTGTCTAGGTTTGGATTTTGTGAATTGCTTACTAGTTATATGGCTTTGGGTAAGTTACCATAGGCCTCAGTTTTCTCATCTCTTCGGAGTCAGTAATAGTGCCTGTCTCCTAGAGTACTTAATAAGATTTATTAGTTTATTAGAGAGAGTGCTAGTGGGGGAGGGGCAGAAGGAGAGGGAGAGAGAATCTCATGTAGACTCTTCATTGAGTGCAAAGCCCAGGAGTCCCAACTTGGGGCTTGATCCCATGATCCTGAGATGATGACCTGAGCTGAAATCAACAGTTGGACACTTAACCAACTGAGCCACCCAGACACCCCCATGGTTCATATGTATATATGTATGTATGTATATATATATATATATACACACACACACACACACACACACATGCATATATATATATATATATATATATATGTATATGATTTTATTTATTTACTTGACAGAGATCACAAGTAGGCAGAGAGGCAGGCAGAGAAAGAGAGGGAGAAGCAAGCTCCCTGCCCGATGCGGGGCTCAATCCCAGGACCCTAGGACCATAACCTGAGCTGAAGGCAGAGGCTTTAACCCACTGAGCCACCTAGGCGCCCCAATATTTAAATGAATTAATTTACAAAGTGCCTGTACATAACGAATAAATACTAGGTGGCATTTTTATTCTTTTAAAATGGAGAAGATCTTAGATTCTAACCTGGTATAAGAATTCCTCTTAGAAATTGCCTTTGATAGGAACATGCTTGAGCAAACTGGCTTGGTAAGTGATTCCATGAGGAGCAATGAGTATTTACATGGTTGTGCAAAAATTAGACTGGAATTTACCTCTTGCAGTCTTCCACTTAATGAGTTGTTACCTTGCCTTCTTAGCCATTGTTTGTACACCATATTTTAATTTGTGCCTTTTGAATATATTGTTAGTTCCTTGAAGACAAAGTTGTAGGCTAAAAATCTTAGTGTTGTCTTTAAGTAGTTCTTTTCCTTTCTGCTTTTCCCTATCAGTTAAAAAGTCCTGTTAATTTTTAGAGTGTTAGCTGTTTTTTCTTTATATAGTCATCATAAAATTGAAAGAAGAGAGAGAGGGGCACCTGGGGGTGGCCTCAGGTGGTTAAGTGTGTGCCTTTGGCTCAGCCCATGATCCCAGGGTCCTGGGACAGAGCCCTGAGTTAGGCTCCCTGCTAGTGGGTGCCTGCTTCTCACTCTCCCTCTTCATGCTGCTCCCCCTGCTTGTGCTCGCTCTCTCTCTGGCAAATAAATAAATAAAATCTTTTTTTCTTTTTTAAACAGAGAATAAAAGAGGAAATGATGATATTCCTGTAGCTAACTGCTCAGAGAGAATCCTGTTGACGTTTTAGAATTTTTTTTCTTGGCACACAAATACATACACAAAGATTTAGTGAAGGCCTGTTAATTTTCTAAAATCATGCCTGCGGTTCCCCCCGTTTTTCTACTGCTAATGCCTACTCTAAACTTTATTTCTTAATGCCTGGATTACTAATTTTTTTTTTATTTTTTAAAATTAACTTTTAATGAGTTTCATTCTTTCCTCTTTTTAGGCCTCCCTAGGACTGGATATGTCTGTCCGTCTGACCTTCCTTCCTTTATTAAATATTTTATTTATTTGAGAGTATGTGTTTTTTAAGATTTTATTTATTTATTTAACAGAGACACAGTGAGAGAGGGAACACAGGCAGGGGAAGTGGGAGAGGGAGAAGCGCTCTCTGCCGAGCAGGGAGCCCGATATGGGGCTTGATCCCAGGACCCTGGGATCATGATCTGAGTCGAAAGCAGATGACTGAGCCACCCAGGCGCCCCTCAATGTAGTATGCTCTGATTACTCACATCTTGTTCATGCCTATCTTCCTCTGGTTCTGCTTTGTTTATCCTGAGGTCTAGCATTATATATGGAGTTTGCTGCTTAAAACTGCAACAAACATGAAGGAAGAGAATTATTGCTGTGAATTGGATTTGTGGATAAAAATCTCTTCCAGCGAAATAGCAGATAGCAGCAAGGATATAAAGAAGTATTAGAATGCCTATCAGTTCTACTCTATAAAGTGAAATAGATGCTTAAATTATATAAAATTATTTATCATATTTCTTTGACTCCTGGTTCTTGCCATTGCCATCTTTGATTCATTGAAATATTCTTAAGATTCTGTAGAACTTCTTCTGAGATTTCTCAGATCCCCACCAGGCTACATTTATGTCATACTGCTCTAATCTGTTAACATTGTTTTGTGACTAAATTTGTTGTTTACTTGTGTATTGGCTTGAGATTTTTTTTTCCCTGTGTGCCTTTGTATAACATCTTGAATATAACACTATTTTAAAATTCCCTTTTATAAGATTTGTGTTCCCTCCATATATAAATATACTCGAGATGATTCACATACAATAAAATATATCCTTTTAAAGTCTGCAGTACGCTGAGTTTTTGTTGTTGTTTTAAAAGATTTTGTTTCTTTTAGAGACTGAGCATGAGCAGGGGGAGAAGCAGAGGGGGAGGGAGAGGCGGGGGGAAAGAAAATCAAGTCAACTCCTTGCTGAGAATGGAGGTGGACATAGGGCTTGATCCCATGACCCTGAGATCATGACCTGGGCCAAAACCAAGAGTTGGACACTTAACCAACTGAGCCATCCAGGTATCCCAAGTCACTAGTTGTTAATATATTCACCAAGTTATGCAGCCATCACCATGGTCTAATTCCACAAAATTTACATTGCCCCAGAAAGAAACTTCTTATGCATTCATGGTCACTCCCATTTTCCTGTTCTAGCCCCTGGCAATCACTAATCTACTTTCAATTTGCCCCTTGAAAAAAAAGTATATAGAGGGTTATGATATAAACTTAAAGAACTTCATTTTAAATAGAAAACCAACTATTTACATCTAGTCGTTTCTCACATAGATTGCTTTCAACGAGAGTTTGTTGAACGGTTGATTTTTGGGAGTGGATGGATATAGATTAACAGATATGAAAGGGGATGGCATTTTAAGGAGAAAAGGCATTACTGAGAAGTGATGAAGTTGGGGCAAGCAGGGAATTTGGTTTGAGACTTAGGTCTTTTTTAGATCTACCTTGATCTAGGAATAAATAATGAATGTAATTTATTTTCTTTCCATCCAGTCTGTGGCTCCAGCGGCCTTATTTCTAGCAGCTAAAGTAGAGGAGCAACCAAAAAAATTGGAACACGTCATCAAGGTAGCACATGCTTGTCTCCATCCGCAGGAATCACTTCCTGATACTAGGAGTGAGGTAGGGGATTCATTACACATATCTGTTTTTCTTTATTTATTTTGATGGTAGCTTAGTTTTGTAACTTTGATTTACTTAAGTCTGAGTGGGGCCTGTTGAATTTTTAGTTTTTATTTTTCCTTTACAAAAAACATCAGAAACTATGGCAAAAGTTAGTTGTATTCATATAGTAAAATTGGAAAATACAGAAAAACAAAAAAGAAAATGTATCACCTAGGTATAATTTGGACCATGGATATGTAAGTGATCATTATTATTTCTCAGTTCTTTTCTATGAATAGCTGCACACATATGTATTTTTATGTCTTTTCCACTTATTATAATATAAATATTTTCCCATTTTAGTCTCCCTTTTCTGTCTCTCTCTCTCTCTCTTTTTTTTTTTTTTTAAGATTTTTAAAATTTCTTTGACAGACAGAGGTCACAAGTAGGCAGAGAGGCAGGCAGAGAGAGAGAGGAGGAAAGCAGGCTCCCCGCTGAGCAGAGAGCCCGATGTGGGGCTTGATCCCAGGATCCTGGGATCATGATCTGAGCTGAAGGCAGAGGCTTTAACCCACTGAGCCACCCAAGTGCCCCTCCTTTTTTTTTTTTTTTTAAAGATTGTAATTATTTGAAAGAGCCCATGAGCTGGGTGGGGCAGAGGGACAAGCAGACCCCCTACTCAATGGGAAGCTAGATGTGGGGGCTCTATCCCAGGATCCTGAGATCATGACATGAGCCAAAGTCAGACCCTTAACCGACTGAGCCACCCAAGCATCTCATGAATAATATTCTTACCAATAAATTTTTGTTATGGACTCTTCAGAAAAATGAGTCCCGTCATTTTTTATATTTATTTATTTATTTATTTTTTACTTTTAAAGAAATTGCAGAAGTTAAAGAAGTTACATATGCTTGTTAAAGACAACCCAAATATTCAAGAATCATTTGTAGTAAAAGTTAAAGCTCATCTCCCCTCCTCCTGGCAGGATGCTGCTGATTATAATTTCAGTATATGTTCTGTCAGCCTCTATCCTGTGCATGTACACACAGCTTTTTTTCCTTCCATCCTTCCTTGACTTTCTTAAAGAAGGGAAACTGTCCTGGCTTTTAAGTCTGTTGTTGGGGAGTGATGAGTTGTGAGAAATTTTGAGGTCTGACATTTGTGTTTAAACTGTGGATTTCTGTTACTAGATTATTTAAGTCTCTTATGTTGGATGCATGAGTCATCTTTTATCAAATAGATAAATTTACATGTTCTCATTATATTGGAGAAGGTGGTTCTTTGTGGGGGGTTATTTGGTTGCTTGTTTTTTATAGATTTATTTATTTGAGAAAAGAGTGCAGGGAGGGGCAGGAGAGAATCTCAAGCAGACTCTGTGCAGAGTGTGGATTCCCACAACCCTGAGATCATAAGCTGACCTGAAATCACAAGTCAGACACTTAACCAGCTGAGCCACCCAGTTGCCCCTTTATTTTGATAATAGCCCCTAATTATGTGAATTGTTTCCCATAGCAGGGTTTTGATTGCCCTTCGTTTTCTCTTGGGTACAGCAGTAGCTCTTGTTGAGAGTTACTGCCCTGGGTTTTTATTTTGGTTTTAGACTAGTAAATGCCCTTGGTCCATAGGACTGACCAAATGAAACAAAATTTTGTTTTAACAGAGTAAAACAAAAAATAATTTACTTTTTTTCCTCTAAGATATTTATGTAATTTCTCACCTGAGTTTCTATTCCTTGTGAGATGGGGTATCTTAGAGGAGGATATTTTCTTCACTATGTGGAAAGCAGTACTAGCATAATTTAAGTCCTTATTGGACTTGATTCAAGATCATAAAGCTAGGTGGAAAGTTCACTACACTATAGATCTAATTCTTGCCCCAAGTCTCATTCTCTGACCTAGAGTTCTAGACCATTGCTGTCCAATAGAAATACAGAGGGAGTATGTAGAGTCATGTATAATTAAAAATTTTTAACTTTTCATTGAACTTCATTTAAAATCTTCATTAGAAATAAAATCTTCATATAAAAGAAGGTGAAATTGGGGCACCTGGGTGGCTTAGTCTGTTAAGTGTCTGCCTTCAGCTCAGGTCGTGATTCCAGAGTCCGGGGATCAAGCTCCGCATCAGACTCCCCACTCAGTGGGGAGCCTGCTTCTCCCTCTCTCTTTGCCCCTCCACCCCCGCTCATGCTCACTCTCTCGTGCTCTCTTTCTCAAATAAATAAAATCTTTAAAAAAACAAAAAAATGAAAGGTGAAATGAATTATGATATTTTATGTTAATATATTTTATTTAATCCCATTTCAGCATAAAATCAGTATTAAAACATTAATGAGGTCATTTACAATATTTTTTAATTAAGTCTTCAAAACTTGGTGTGTGTGTGTGTGTGTGTATATATATTTTTTTTTTTTTTGTAATTTTATTTACTTACTGGACAGCACATGAGTGGAGGAGGGACAGAGGGATAGGGAGAAGCAGACTTCACACTGAGTGGGGAGTCAGATGCGGGGCTTGATCCCAGGACTCTGGAATCACGACCTGAGCCAAAGGCAGATGCTTAACTGACTGAACCACACAGGCATCCCAGTTTGGCATATATTCTATTGAACATCTCAATTTAGGCTAGCTACCTTTAGGTGCTCAGTAGCCATATGTTGACAATGGCTGCAGTATTGACTGGTACAAATCTGAGAGAAATTTTTTTTTGTTGTTTATTCCCTTTTCCTTTGAACTCTTCTGATTCTTAGAAATCTAGCATTAGCTGGGAGGTTTTGTCAGGAGTCAGATTTTTGAAATTGCCTACAGTACCTTAGGAAGGGTCTACAGTGTATTTTGATGATGTTGAAAAAAGATGTATGTATCTTTAATTATCTTGTGTCTGCATCACATGAATTTAAAAAAACCTAAAATGTTAGTCTTGAAATGAACCAACTCTCTGGTGCCTTTTCTGTAGCTAATTATGAATGAAGTGTTATTTTTCAGTATACCACTTTTTTTTCCTTCTTCAAAGAGGAAAAGGTGTGCTAAATATAGAGATAAGGATTGTATTTCAGTTCCTAGGCTACCTCCTCACTTCATGCCTGCCTTTTGTTGCTTTGGTTTTCCTGGAAGGAGATGTTAGAATTATTTACACTTTATTTATTGTGCCTTTTTGGGAAATAATTTATTTGTCTTCTCACCTACAGGCTTACCTGCAACAAGTTCAAGATCTGGTGATACTAGAAAGCATAATTCTGCAGACTTTAGGTAAATTTATTTTTCTTTAAAATAGTAAATATAAGTAATGTAAAATTTTAAAATTTACAGATAGGAAACAGGAAGAAAATCTCTACTGAAGGTTTTTGCAAATTATAGAGCTTGTGGAATGTGGTTTAACCCTGACCTATACCAAAAACAGAAGTCAGGCATAGCCGTCCTTTGGAATAGCAGCTAGTAGGGCTTTTTTAAATTCTCTGTTCATAATTTGCTTTGGAAGGTTTGTCAGTTTTTAACTTTATGATAATATGATAAATAATGGCAAAAACTAATGAACTTTTTTCCTTTTATGGATTTTTATGATCTGTTTGTCATTATATTTAAAGGACAGTGTTTATTTTTAAAATTGGTAAAAGCTTATTTTTTTTAAAGAGGTCATGTAGTTTGTTTTTTTTTTAGATTTATTTTTTTATTTATTTAAAAGATTTTATTTGAGGAAGAGAGAGGGAGAGGGATAGTGTGACCGGGGTGAGAAGCAGAAGGAAAAGCAGACTCCCTGCTGAGCAGGGAGCTTGATGTGGGACTCCAGGATCCATGACCTGAGCTGAAGGCAGATAGATACCTAACCGTTTGAGCCACCCTGGTGCCCCTAGATTTATTTATCTGAGAGAGAGAACAAGCACACATGTGTGTGCAGCTGCATGGAGGGAAGGGCAGAAGGAGAGAATCTTCAAACATACTCCCTACCTTGGGGCTCCATGTGGGGCGACATGGGGCTCGATCTCACAACCCATGAGGTCATGACCTGAGCTGAAACCAAGAGCTGGATGCTCCGTGGACTGAGCACCTAGGCACACCTCTAATCAGTGTTTAGAACAGCAGAGTAGGGGTGGAGGAATTTCAGCTCTAGTGGTTGATGGGCAACCTTGATGATTATCTGTTACTATTTTTATCAGAGATACTACCTTTAAAAGTTTTTAGCAAATTTGGAAAATAAGGATTTTTTTTCAAGTTTTTTTTTTTTTGCTGCGGTGCTATTTTTCTCTTCTCTGTGTCAGGGAGGAGTTCATGAGTTGTGCTGAAAAGTTACTGGTACACCTGTATGTTATTGCATGTCTGTACACACAGTTCTTTAAGGCTTATATCTCTCTCACTCTTTTTTTTAAAGCATATGTGCTGCCAAAGTGAGCACTCAAAGCTTATCTCTGAAGTTAATTTCTGTTAACTCGCTTTTTACTTTAAATTATCTTCAAAGTAACCATGTTTTAGGGGACAATGATCTTCTGGTGGGGTAAATTTTTATTAATATTTTAATGTGGAAGCCAGTAGGATCTTACTTGCATGAATCATTTGTCCATTGAGAATAATTTTCTGTTTAGAGATTATTGGTTCCTCAGGGGTCTTGAGACTGCATTAGCTTTATTATTTAGTTCAAAATATGGTTGTCTTTGAAGATAATGTGTCTTAGAAAAGAGTGTGCTATATGTGTTGTGTGACCCTCTTAGACTCTGAACAGTAATTCTGGGAGAGGAAAATGAAGGAGGCTTTTAATGATGACTCAGATAAAAGAAGTATAAAATGTCTCCAGTATCTTTAGCTTTTTAACCACAGTACTTTTTTTTTAGGCTTTGAACTAACAATTGATCACCCACATACACATGTGGTAAAGTGCACTCAGTTGGTTCGAGGTAAGGAATCCCAGCTTGAAATGGCTGTCTTCAATTGTTTTACCATTTAATGGCTTTGATTTATTTATGGTGGACAAATATATAACTCAGCTGCTTTGGCTAGAAGTTAAATTGAAAGGGTTACCTGGCTTAAAATGAGTGTGTCTAATTTGGGGTTTTTCTCCTGGGTTCTTAAAGAGAATTAGCCTCTTGAGGGTGTTTGTCAGAACCTGGAACAGATTTCATAAAGTCAAATGACAAGTATCTAATAGCAGTTTAAGGATGCGTTGGGAGTGGTGATCTTAATGTGATTCTAGGATTGATGGCCCTAGACAGCCTTTTACAAGCCATCCAGAGGATCTAGAATTTATTTGACTTATCCAATGATTGACAAAGCCTTGGAAAGACTTTTTTTATTCTGATTTAAACCTTAGTAGCTGTAATTGCATGAAACCTTGTTCCTCTTAGTTTGAATAGTAGTATCAACATATAGACACTTCTGCAGTAGAATGCCTTATACTTTTGTAGATGAAACTGATAATTGGCCTTATTTTATATTTTGCTAGTATGTGCTTCATCTGTAAATTTCCAGTTTTCCTAAGTTCTTTGTATTTAGAAAACATTAGAGGGTTTACATTAAGCAAGGATAAACAAAGATAGATATATGCTGATATTGAAAAAACTAAGTTTTAAGGAAAATTAAAATTTACTTTATTACCCAGAGCAGTTTTTTGGGGAAGGGGGCATGTGTTCCCCCCCCATTATGGTATATCAAGTAATTTATGTTATTTGATGATTTGGGGTCTGAATCACAGGCTACTCAATTAAAAAAAATTTTTTTGAGCGCAGATCACTTTTCCCAAATATACAGCGGTCTTCTGGATTCTGATCTTGCCTCCAAAACTAGTTTATCGTCTAGTTCAGTAAACTCTTGCATCAGAATTTCTAGGTTACCTGTTAAAAATGCATGTTTTCTTCTCTAAACATACTGAGTCACACTCTAGGAAGGATGTCCAGGAATTGGAGTTGAAACAAGTATTCCAGATACTTGGTGTACAGTGTAAAGCTTGAGTTCCTAGGTCTGGAAACAGTATAGTTATTATAATTAAAAGTTGCTGATTTGACCTTTTTTGTAGAATGTTAGACATCAGGTGGTTAGGGACCATGTCTGCTTTATTCGTTATTATGTTCTCTACTTGGAAATATTAAATGCTCACTAAATAATTGAGACTGAATGGAACTAATAACTTTTTCCCTGTCCCCCCCCCTTTTTTTTTTTAGCAAGCAAGGACTTAGCACAGACTTCTTACTTCATGGCAACCAACAGGTTTATATTTTGATATTTTTCCCTTCTATTTTTGGGATAGGGCTTGTCACTTTTTGAGGAATATATGGAAAGATATCAGGTCTAGCACTTAGTAAACTAGAACCCAAAGACCCAGGATAGATCTTTGCTACAGTGTATTACAGACAATTCTCTGGTAAATATTTATTTTTCTGTACAGTTTCCATATTTTACCTTACCTTTCCATGGTGCTTTTTAATTTGCTAAGGTGATGCAATTATGTAGTACTTATTGTTTGAAATTCTGCATGTCTTCCTTTACTTTAAAATATCCAAGAGCAGGGGCGCCTGGCTGCTCAGTTGGGAGAGCATGTGACTCTTGATCTCAGGGTCACGAGTTTGAGTCCCATGTTGGGTGTGGAGAGTACTTAAAATCTGAAACAAAAAAATTAAAAAATCCAAGAGCATAGTCCTTGTTAGTTAGTTCTTGTTAGTTAGTCAGTCTTGTTAGTCTTGTTAGTTCTTGTTAGTTAGGTAAACTTGGGGTTGATCGTAACTGAGAATCTAATTTGGAGGATTCTGCAATACTTACAGTATTTATTTATTTATTTTAAAGATTTTATTTATTAGAGAGAATGTGCATGCGTGTGTGACTGAGCGCGCACAAGCAGGGGGAGGTGTGGAGGGTGAGGGAGAGAAACAGCCTCCCTGTTGAGTGGGGAGCTGGACACTTGGTTCTATCCTAGGACTCTTAAGATCATGACCTGAGCCAAAGTCAGATGCTTAACCAATTGAGCCACCCAGGTTTCCCAATAATTAAGGTGTTTAAAAAACTTCCTTTTTCTTCTTCATTGCCAGATAAATGTGCATGAATACGTGTAAAGAGCTTTTTCTTTCTTCTTTTTTTTTTAAGTTTTTTTCTTTATTCTTTCCTTTTTAAGACAAAAATTAATACATAATTTGTATTACCAAATTACTTGATAAGTTTCATCTCCAATTGATCGTGGAAATCAAAGATATTTCTGTTGACTGTCATTATTTTTTATAGCCTGATAGAAATTTTTGAAGTAAATCATCAGTTAAGCATATTCACAGTTGAGAGAGTGATAGTCTATTCATTATTTTAGTTTATTTTTATTTTTTAATTTAGTTAATATATGCTATAATATTAATTTCAGCAGTAGAATTTAGTGCTTCATCAGTTGCATATAACACCCAGTGGTCATCATATCATGTGCCCTCCTAAATGTCCATCTCTAATTACCCCTCTGTTATTTTCAATTGACCAGACCTGTGGTTGGCAAGAGATGAGATAATTTTAAGGGGGTTTTAAGTATTTGATTTAGGGATTACACATAACTAAAAATCTTAAAATTTTCCTTAAGTTCTAAGTTTCTTCTCAGGATAATAGATCCTTATTTTTAAAAAAACTGAGTACCCTGTCTCTTTGGTTTTGGCCCTGGTCTTTTGTCAGTATGTGGGATTGATAATGTACAGCCAAAAATTCAGAAACGTTACCTGAGCAGGTGGGTTAATGAAAAATCATGTTGGGTGCTGGATCAGAGTACTGGATATTTCTTACCCTTCTTACTCTCCAGTGTTTTTTAATTTTTTTTTTCTTTTTAAATAATGGAGAGTTTTAACTTTGGGTTCAAAATTGAGAGCTCATAAAAAAAAAAAAAAATTGAGAGCTCATGACACTCTCTTGTTTCCTTCCCTCTGATGTCAGCCTGCATTTGACCACATTTAGCCTGCAGTACACACCTCCTGTGGTGGCCTGTGTCTGCATTCATCTGGCTTGCAAGTGGTCCAACTGGGAGATCCCAGTCTCAACTGATGGGAAGCACTGGTGGGAGTATGTTGACGGCACTGTGACCTTGGAACTTTTAGATGGTAAGTTTTAGAGTAAGGGACCTTGGAAAGCACTTGCTCTTGATCTGTCACATATCTGGCCCAAAGTGACTTCTTTCAGATGAAAATAGTTAGTTGAGGTTATTCTTGTTTTTTTACTTCAGCTTGTCTGAGTTTTTCTTAAATGTTCTATTTCATTTGTAGAACTGACACATGAATTTCTACAGATTCTGGAGAAAACCCCTAACAGGCTCAAACGAATTCGGAATTGGAGGGTAAGAATTATTGCTGTCAGCTTGTAGTATAAAACTAGTTTTTTCTTTTGACTGCACAGTGAATATATCAGAATTGGATATGTACCCCAGGTTTGGAATTTCCTTTTTCTTAGTTATATAATAATCATGACTTCAACTTCATAGCTTGGATATTGCTCAGAAGTCAGTGGTGATAGGTGATAGCAGGATTTGTTTTGTGTTGTGCAACTATTGTGATATGGTCAGTTGGCAACATTGTTGAGTATTTTCTGTGTGGAGACTGTTAGGGAAAAAATGTGGCTTCTCTGAGTCATAAAGTGTTGGGTTCTGGTAGAGGAAAGATAGAGTTACAAGGTTAGAGCTGGTATCATTGTACTTTGACATTATTTACTTTTTAAATGGATTTTAGAATTTTATTTTTATATCGATTGTAGGGTAAAGTTGTATTTCAAATATTTTTCAAAGTCTTATAAAATGGAATCATTCTTTTTTCCCTTGGCATTAGATAGAAAGTTCATTTAAAAATGTTCCCTGCAGGGGGCACCTGGGTGGCTTAGTCGGTTAAGCTTCTGTCTTTGGCTGAGGTCATGATCCCAGAGTCCTGGGATCGAGCCCTGCATCGGGCTCCCTGCTCAGTGGGGAGCTTGCTTTTCCCTCTCCCTCTGCCTGCAGCTCCCCCTGCTTGCGTACTTTCCCTCTCTCTCTCTTTCTGTCAAATAAATAAATAAAAATCTTAAAATTTTTTTTATTAAAAAAAAAATGTTCCCAGGGTGCCTGGGTGGCTCAGTGGGTTAAAGCCTTTGCCTTCGGCTCAGGTCATGATCTCAGGGTCCTGGGATCAAGTCCCGCATCGGGCTCTCTGCTCAGCAGGGAGCCTGCTTCCTCCCGTTCTCTCTGCCTGCCTCTCTGCCTTCTTGTGATCTTTCTCTCTCTCTGTCAAATAAATAAATAAATAAAATATTTAAAAAAAAAAAAAAGTTCCCTGCAGGGGAGCCTGGGTGGCTCAGTTAAGTGTCTGCCTTTGGCTTTAGGTCATGATTCTGTGGTCCTGGGATCAGGCTCCCTGCTCAGCAGGGAGCCTGCTTCTTCCTCTTCCTTATGCTCTCTCTTGCTCACTCTCTCTTTCTCCCAAATAAGTAAATAAAATCTTAAAAAAATATATTCCTTACATTCTCAGAAATCCAGATTGATAAACTTAATTTCATTCTCCTGAGTTTAGAGAATTGTAGAAAATGAGTTAGCCTACGATTCAAAGGAGGCTTGAGAGCACATAGTTCATCACTGTGATCGTAGGACACCACCAAAAATTTCCGGAATTTGTTTTTGGACCAACTGCTGTCATAAGCAGTCATAAGGCATAGATGTTCATGAATGAATTTTAGATATGCACAAATTAATTTTGTAAGTGGCTTGTAGCATTGGTATAGATTGCTGTAACTTTTGGGGGGTATGGTAGAAAACTTAAGATTACCCTTTTAGCAAATTTTTGAGTATACAGTCAATATGTTATGCAGTAGGTTTCTAGGACTTACCTTGTATAACTGACTTTGTACCATTTGACTACAAGGTTCTTATTTTCCCCCTTCCCCCCTCCCCTACTATTTTACTCTGTCTGTATGAGTTTAAATCTTAGATTGCTCACTTAAGTGAGATCATATTTTGTCTTTCTGTGTCTGGCTTATTTCACAGCAAAAGGCCTTCCAGGTTCATTCATGTTGTGACAAATGACAGGATTTCCATCTTTTCTTTTTTTTTTTTTAAATTGTGGTAAAGTACATATAGCATGAAAGTTACCATCTTAATCATTTTTAAATGTACAGTTCAGTGGTGTTAAGTATATTCATATTGTTGTGCAACCATCATTACCATTCATCTCCTTAATTCATTTCATTTTGTAAAACTGAAACTTTACACCCATTAAATAACTCTGCATTCCCCCTCCCCACCCAGCCCCTGGCAACCACAATTACACTTTCTGTCTATGTGATTTGGCTTCTCTTAAATACTTGATATAAGTGGAATAATACAGTATTTGTCTTTCTGTGGTTTATTTCATTTAGCATAATGTTCTCAAGGTTCATCCATGTTGTGTCATATTGTAGAATTTTGAGTCCTTTAAAGGCTTAGTAATATTCCATTGTATGTATCCACCATATTTTGGTTATTCGTTCATCTGTCGATGGACACTTGGGTTGCTTCCATATTTTAGCTGCTGTGAATAATGCTGCTGTGAACATGGGTGTACAAGTATGTCTTCAAGACCTTGCTTTTATTCCTTTGGCTTTATACCCAGAATTGGAATTGCTGGATTATATGGTAGTTATGTGGTTTTTGGTTTTTTTTTTAATTTTTATTTTTTGGTAGTTCTGTTTTTAATTTTAATTTTTTTGAAGTTGTTTTTAAATTTTTTTAGAAAAGATTTCATTTATTTAACAGAGAGATCACAAGTAGGCAGAGAGGGGGGAAACAGGCTCCCTGCTGAGCAGAGAGCCCAGTGTGGGGCTTGATCCCAGGACCCTGAGATCATGACCTGAGCTGAAGGAAGAGGCTTAATTTTCCACTGAGCCACCCAGGTGCCCCTCTTTTTAAATTTTTTAATTAGAAAAATTAAAATTATTTGAAGTCCAGATTGTTCCTTTTTTTTTTTTTTTTTTCAAGTTACCTGTGCCATTGATGTCATATCCAGGAAATTGCCAATCCACTGTTGTGAAGCTTCTGTCCTGTTTTCTTCCAAGAGTTTTATTGCTTTAAGTCCCTTATTCAGTTTTGAGCTAATTTTGTATATGGTGTTAGGTAAGGTCCCAACTTCATTCTTTTGTACATGGATATCCAGTTTTCCCAGCACCATTTATTAAAAAAGACTATCCTTTCCTCGTTGAATAGTCTTAGCCTTTTGGCAAAAGTCATTTGATCATATATGCAAGAGTTTATTTCTGTGCTTTCTCTTCTGTTTCATTCATCTGTATGTCTCTTTATGCCAGTATTACACTGTATTACTGCACAGTGCTTACTGTAGCTTTGTAGTTAGTTTTGAAATCAGGAAGTGTGAATTCTCCAGTTTTGTTCTTCATTTTCAGATTGTTTTAGCTATTTGGGGTCCCTTGAGATCCATAGGAGTTTTAGGGTGGCCTTTTCTCTTTCTGCAAAAAACATTGGGATTCTGATAGGGATTGCATTGAATTTGTAGGTTGCTTCGGGTAATAATGTTCACATTTTAACAACATGAAGTCTTTGAATCCAGAACATGGGATGAGTTTTCCATTTAGGTCTTAATTTCTTGTAGCAATGTTTTCCAGTTTTAATTGTACAAGTTTTTCATCTCCCTGCTAAGTTAATTCATAAGGATTTTTTTTTTTTGATACTGTTATAAATAGGATTGTTTTCATAATTTCCTTTACAGATTGTTCATATACAGAAATGCAACTGAAATTTGTGTGTTGACTTTGTATCCTGCTACTTTGTTGAATTCATTAATTCTGACTTTTTATGTGTGTGGAGTTTTCTATATAAGATTATATCATCTGCAGGGGCACCTGGGTGGCTTAATCAGTTAAGCGTCTGCCTTCTGCTCAGGTCATCATCCCAGGGTCCTGGGATCAAGTCCTGCATCAGTCTCCCTGCTCAAGTGGAGTCTGCTTCTCCCTCTTTCTCTTCCCCTACTCCTTTCCCTGCTTGTGTGCTCTCTCTCTGTCAAATCAATGAAGCCTTTTTTTTTTTCTTTTAAGATTTTATTTATTTATTTGACATAGAGAGAGATCACAGGTAGAGGCAGGCAGAGAGAGGGGGGAAGCAGGCTCCCCACTGAGCAGAGAGCCTGATGAGAGGCTCGATCCCAGGACTCTGAGATTATGACCTGAACCAAGGGCAGAGGCCCAACCCACTGAGCCACCCAGGTACCCCTCAATGAAGTCTTTAAAAAAAAAATTATATCTCTGCAAGCAGATAATTCTACTTTGCCAGTTTGAATGCTCTTTCTTTCTTTCTTTCTTTTTTGGAGAGAGACAATGTGAGTGGGGAGGGGTAGAGGGAGAGAGAGAATCTTTTTTTTTTTTTTAAAGATTTTATTTATTTATTTGGTAGAGATTACAAGTAGTCAGAGAGGCAGGCAGAGAGAGAGAGAGAGGAAGCAGGCTCCCCGCTGAGCAGAGAGCCTGATGCGGGGCTCGATCCCAGGACCCTGAGATCATGACCTGAGCTGAAGGCAGAGGCCTCAACCCACTGAGCCACCCAGGCGCCCCGGAGAGAGAGAATCTTAAGCAGACTCCGTGCTCAGCATTGACATGGGGCTCCATCTAACAACCCTGAGATCATGACCTGAGCCAAAATCAAGAGTCAGATGCTTAACTGACTAAGCCACCCAGATGCCCCTGAGTGCTTTCTTTTGCTTACTTGTTCTGATGAGAACTTGTAGTACTTTGTTGAATAGAAGTGAAAAAGAGATCCTTGCCTTGTTCTAGATCTTAGCAGAAGAGTTTGCAGTTTTCCTGCTGTTGAATGTGATGTTTGCTTTGAGCGTTTCATATATGACTTATATTATATTGCGGTAATTTCCTTCTGTTCCTAGTTTGTGGGGTGTTTTAATCATGAAAGTTTGTTGAATTTTATGAAATGTTTTTTCTATATCTGGAAGATCATACGGGTTTTTTTTTTCCTTTATTGTATTTATGTGGCATATTACATGGATGATTTTTGTATGTTGAACCATCCCTGCATTCTAGGAATAAGTCCTACTTGGTCATAGTGTATAATCTTTTAGTATGCTGCTAAATTCAGTTTGTTAGTATTTCTTTTTTTAGATTTTATTTATTTGTCAGAAAGAGAGAGAGAGAGCACAAGCAGGGGGTGAGGCAGGCAGAGGGAGAAACAGAGTCCCTGCAGAGCAGGGAGCCTAATGTGGAACTCTATCCCAGGACCCTGGGATTATGACCTGAGCCTAGGGCAGACAGGTTCTTAACCGACTGAGCCACCCATGCGTCCCAGTTTGTTAGTATTTTGTTGAGAATTTTTTACATCAGTGGTCA